CCCCAGTCACCCTGAGTGACTTTGTGACGACTCTGCCGATTGTCACCCACCAGAGAAGCTTGCTGGGTGCTGTCCCTGTACCTGTCAGCGCAGCTGCTTGGGGTTTTGGCAAGGAGGGTGCTGCCTACACCAGCACTAAACTGTGCCAAGGTTTGGAAGCTTTTGTGGGGACAGCAGCAGTCTGAGAGGAGATTGTGGACAACTATTGACTGGGGACAAAATGAAGATGCAGCCGTTGTCACACCTCGCTTGGAACAGGATCCCACAGCCACTGGTGCAAGAAACCCAGCAGCATTACCTGTTGAAGCACCGTTAGGCATGCTTTCTATCAGGGAGGGTTCATTGGGGAAATTGCTTAATTATGTTGTCCTGAAACCTTTTCTCTTGCTGTGTCAGATCCCTAATGTATCTCAGAATGATCCCCTTGTCTCCTTCTGTTGGACAGGGCTGTAGGACTGGCTCACAGCACACCAGCCTAGAAACCAGAGCCTGGTCATCTCCCTCTGCCAGGTCTACCCCAAATCTCCAGGAATTGTGAGAATTTGAGCTTGGTCCCAGCCATGCCAGTTTTCAGTCTTTCCCTGCATTGCAGGAGGGACAGAGATCTTCGGATGGTAGCGGGTACCCAAGGTCCATCCTTGCAGGGAGTTTCCATGTGCGAGCATCCCTTTTCTGCTTCCCCGAGCCTGCTTGCCCATGGCCACATGGTGCTGTGTACATGACTAATTGCACGTACGGTCAAAAGGTAAGGAGGCTGTTATAAAAACCAGGTTCAGGCTGGTGAATCCACTGGGTTGCCTAGGCGCGACTGAAAGGCAAACATTTTTGCTTTGCAAAATAATTCTGGCTATGATGGTATTTGTTGGCAGGAGGGAGGAAAGTGGGATGGTGGTGTGGGGAGCTGTGTCAGGCATCCGTCACGGTGCATCCCGGCTTTTCCTGGCATCCCCAGCTCTGTGTGTGCTGTGTTTTGGCTTTGCTGCTGCTCTGGGCAACTGGTTTCTTGTCCTCTCCTTTGAAATCTTCTGATGACTCGTTTTTACCTGCTCTTCTTTTTCCCTCGGTTACCGCTGTAAGCTCAGATATCTGCTTTATAGGAACCCAGATTTATCTGGTTGATACTCATCTTATTTTCCCTTTTCCAGAAAGGGAATAAGCTGTAGTGGGGCAGGCTGGGTGGGTAAACTGAGTCACAGGTGAATTCTCTGAGGTATTACAGAAATCATGGATTGTCCCAAAGAAGGAGAGGGACACCCCCAGAAGGGACCCAGAGGGACTTTGCAGCAGCCACTGGTGGATATTGGTTCTTCTGGGGCTATTTCAAATATGCCTGGTATTCCCTGTGAAAATAAATCTGATTTCTTTAAGGAGAGGGGAATTGAAGCTGAGGCTTGGCAGCAGTCTGAATATTAAAAAAGCCCCCATAGTGTTTCATTTAAAGCATAATGACATGGCATATTTTTTTTATTTATTTTTATTGGTAATGCTTAAAATGGGAACTTAACATGGCCAGAGTGGCTGCTTCTCATGGGGCTTCTCCTCTGCGGAGAAAAGGGGACCCTCCCAGGGTAGAAGTTAGTTTGCAAAGCAGATAACGCTGTCCCCTTCTCCTCTTTCAGATAAGAGAGGAAGAAAAGATGCCAGGGCTTCCAGCCGGCCCTGCTGCACGTGTTTGGGGATCTGCTGTAGAGATCGGGGGGGCTGCGGGGTTAAGAGGAGGAGGAAGGGGAGGAGAACGTCTGTGTGCGTTGCTCTGCGGCTCCCAGATGTTAATCTCAGATATTCTGGCTTCTCTCAGCCAGAGAAACCCCTCACTGCGGGACGCTGTGGACACAAAGCAGCTTGGAGGTGACCAAGTCATAGCAGAAAAAGCACTGATGAAGTGCAAAGATGTGTCCAAATCAGGAGGTCCTGGAAGCTGGAGACCAGAAAGGATCTGGGGACCACGTCCCTCCACTCTGGTCCTGCTCTTGTCTTGTCAGACCTTCATGCTTGTCCCTGAGCCCTCTCATCAGTAGCCTGGCCACATTTCAGTAGGAGACCATGTGTCTGCGTGATCGGCACGAAGCCGGCAGCTGGGATTGCACATTGGGAGAATATCTGTCTGCAGATGCCGAGCGAGTCGCAGGACTTTGTTCAGGGCAGCAAATGTGGGGAGAGGAGAACAAAAAAAAAGGAGACGCTGGAATACAGATGTTGGTGAGCCAGTTCTTTTGGTCCTGGCTCAAATCTGGCCCCGAATTTAAAGCATTCACTGGAGGGTTAAAATGCTGAAGCATGGTGGTGCCTCAGGTGGGAAGCCTCTGAAGTCGGGGGAGGACCCATGGCATCACCATGTGGTGATCACCCTGTCACCAGGGGACCTCCTGCCCCTGCCACCTCTCTGAGTGTTACCCTTTCTGCGGGTGCATAGGGTTTGGGGAGCCAACCTGGGCTGCTTTCATTGAAACAAATTACTCTTTAGCTGAGTCAGCACAGTTACACTCCTCAGGGGTTTACATGGGGTCTGGAGCTGGGGAGGAATGGTTGGAGATGATGGTGGTTTGGGAGAGCCACCCAAATGCCTTTGGTGCCTCCATCCACAGTGAGCTCTGTGCACTTACTGGTCCAGCAGCTCCTCAGTGGAAAAATCATCTTTACTGGGATGGTGGGGAAAGGGGAGGCAATATCCTTCCACCTTTACCATCTTGGGAAGGGGGCAACCGCAGGGTTTTGTGCTTGGCACCTGTGAGATGACATCAGGCTCTCCAGGTTGATACCTGGGGAAGAGGCCAGCATCCTGGTCCCTGATTTTGGGTGCCTGGGTGGGGAATGCGTCCACACAGGGGACATGAGTCCCCCCAGGTCTCTGTCCTCGGGTGGCCCCTGGCCGTGTCTCCTCTTCCCCATGCCTGTTGTGCCCGTGTGCTCCCCAGGGATCACAGCAGGCTGAGCGCAGGGGCTGGGACATGGGCGATGCGCAGAGTGCCGAGAGGATGTTTTGGTGCCTGCCAGCCCTGGGAAAAAGCTTTTTTTCCACTGAGTCATTTGCTGCCTCTGCTTTTTGTGAGACGGTGCCGAGATCTGGGGGAAGGGGAGATGGAAAAACCCAGCCCAGATCTCCCTGCTCTGGCAGGACCAGGTCCACGCCAGCACAGCTGCCCCGTGTTTGCTTTTCAGAGGGAGGGGCAGACAGACAGCAGCATAAATAGAACAGGCACGGCTATTTTGAGACATCAGTTGCATGATCTGTGCATTAAGAGAAAAAGAAATTAAATTAAATCTTTGTTTTAGTAGAAACTGGCAATGTGGCTTGAGAGGAAACTCTGGTGGGGACAGGAGTTTCAAGAGCCATCGCCCAAGTCCTAGGAGTAGATGAGCCATGAGGACTCATGTGTTTCTCCTCAAAGTCGCAGGAGATGGACCGTTGCCCACATGTGCTGCAGATGTGGTGTCACTCTGCTGCAGATGGGGAGTGATGGTGTGAGATGCACTTGGTCCAGGAGAGGGGAGGCAGTGGCCAGGGAAGGGATGTGGCTGCTCTTTTGGTGATGTAGGATGGGGTTTTTCTTCTTCTGGAGGAATTTCTGGGTTCCTATGGAGCTGAAATGATTGCACTGCTCTTGCCCTGAGCAGCATGCTGTGATTAAGATCTTGCATTTACTGTTGGGGGTTAAAATCAGGCTTGTTTCAGGTGACTTGGTGCCAAACAGAGATCTTGGCAGGTAGGGCAGGAGGGCTGTGAGCCCTGGCAGCAGGAGCTGGAGCTGTTTTCTGCTCTGTAATCATCGCAGCTGGGACCAGGCACTCAGAGTGTCCAGCAGTGAGCCTGGAGCTCCCCCTCCCACAGCCATGCTATGATCATCCCATCCCCGTCCCCCATCCCAGTGTGGAGGCTGAGATGCAAGGGAGAAGGGCAGCAGCCCAGCTCCCAGCAGCACAAGGGCTTGTAAATACTCATGCCTGGGCAAACAAATAGTATTGATTGGGATTTCGGTGCCAATCAGCAGCAGATGGCTTAGCAGGCGGAGGAAGGTGATGTCTGAGATTTTCGGATAAAGCCAGGAGCCACTCTTGAAAAAAAGAAGGCAAAAGTATTAAAGCACGTTCTGAAGAGAGCTCTTTCTCCACTAGCAACCCCAGCTGTAAAGGTTTATTAGTATAAATTAGTCTGAAAACTGTTTTTCTTCCCTTTCCACTTCTCTGTTGAAGACCGTTGGTGGTTTTTGCTGAAAAAACTGCCCATCAGAAGGCAGAACTGCCATGTGGGATGGGGTTTTGCACTAATGATGGTACAAAACACATTTATCTCTCTGAAATCACTTTGATAGTGGACTTCTAAGCTCTTCTTATGACAAAAAGTTTTTTATCAGAGCCTTATAAATAATCCTGTGCACCAGGTCATGCAGTGGTTGTGACATCTGCCTTGCTCTCCTGTGAACCAACCAACACTGCTTTTGAATTGCTGCTTGGTGAATTGGGTGGAGATGAGGCTGCACCAGAGCTCAGGGCTGGAGCTGCCATCCACCCCTCTCATCCTCACAGACTCACCTCTTTCCATATGGCAGTTTGGCCCTTGCAGCTTGCGTCCATGGTTTGGGACCATGCAGATGATGACCAGGTTTTATGTTGAAAAATGGTGTGGATGTGTAGTTCCTCCCCGTGGAAAAACCCAGCATGGTGGAAGAAGAGGTTGGGGATCCCTCACTCTCTCAGGGGTTCAAGCAGAAGACATTACCTTTCCTTGAAAATCTGTTATTTATGGAGTAAAACCAGGGCAGGTTGGAGGTGTTCTGCTGGGCTCCCACTCAGGACGTCTACCTGGTGTGGTGGCTATGATGGTGGCCAGGCAGGGCAGATGCTTTGGAGCCAGGAAAGCCTTATAACTTACTGAGTGTAACTCAGAGCATGAAGCTCTGGATGTGGCCTCTCTGGGCCCAACCCACTGGCACCAATGGAGCATCTTCTGCTGTTGCCTTTGCACTGAGGTTTCTCCCCGTTTTCATGTCCCACAGAGTGCCTGAAGCTGCTGCCGCTGGCGTCCATGGCGTACACCGTGACCCCCACGCCGGCGGGGCCTGTCGGCTCCCAGTACTGCGTCTGCAAAGTTGAGTTGTCTGTCTGTGGCCAAAACCTCCTGGACAGGGATGTCACTTCCAAATCCGACCCCTTCTGCGTCCTCTTCATGGAAGTCAACGGGAAGTGGGTGGAGGTAAGTCCTGAAGTTGTGTGATTTTGCTTCCCAGAGGTGGAAGCTCTTCTGGTCCTCCCAAGGCTGTGCACAGCACTGGTGTGTTAATTATTCTGTGTTCTGCAACCAATCCTTGCCCTGTCAGTGCTTTCTCCTTTGTGCTGGGAGTTAGATTTAACTGCTGGTCTCAAAATATTGACCTCTGGCAAGGTACGTGGCAGGCACGAAAGGGTCTTGCCACCTTCAAAGCGGTCCCAGCCCCTTCTCAGTCTGCTGCAAGCTGAGGGGTGCTTCAGATTTGTGTGCTTGAAATGCTGATCCTGTGTGACAGTTAGATGTGAGGTCCCGCTTGCAACGGGGAGTGTTTCTCAGTGGGTCAAGATAAGCTGGTTCTTGGCTCCTGAGTTATGCAGGTCACTGGGTTTTGGGTTTCGCTTGAAGAGTGGCTCTGTCTAGGGACCGGGACTCTGCCGGATGAGGGTCTGGCCGGTCAGTCCAGTGGGAAAGTGCTGTCCAGGGCAGCTCATGCTCTGAACACGTGTGGCCTCCTTCACGAAGCGTATCAAGGTCAACAGTCCTTACGCCGGGCATTTCAGGGACTGGCTGTGGAGAGGGCAGGGCCATGGGACAGGGAGGGAGCCTGTTGACAGCTGTGGACACTAAGGCTGTGCGTTGAGCAGCACACTGACACGCTTACACGGCTGGGGGATGTGTATTTGCTTATTTTTATTTTCCTTGTATGCGCTAAGGAGCTTAGAGCTGTATTAATTTCCTCTGCCTCCCTTCCTCTGCCCACTCCAGCACAAGCTTACTGCAGGGCAAGACCCTGCTGATGAAAGGCTCTTTAAGGACAGGAGAACTTCCCGAGGCTGCACCGTTCCCGGCAGTGGATGAACATGGGATAAATCCGTCCTCTCTGAGATGCAGATGCTGCACAAGGAGCCCTTGTGTGTTGTTTCCTGCCCTCCGCTTCTGCGGGACGAGGCTGCCGCTGACCTAGCTAATGGAGCGCGAGGAAATTGACCCTCAGCAGCTGTCTGAATTATTTCATAGCATAAGTAAAACGTTGGCTTGATCCCAAAAGCTTGCTTCCCAACACACCCACCAACTGGATGTGTACTCCCTTGAAAATCCTTCTCTTGCGGGGTATGCTGTGTCAGGAATTGGGTGTGTGCATGCACCGTGGTTCATCCAGAGGTACCCAAATTGGCTTTGAGCAGCATGACCTTGGTCATCACCAGCAGTGCTGCTGCAACGGCAAGAGGCCTCATTGGCAGATGCACGTCTCAGGCTGGTTTTGCAGTCAGGGTGTGCACAAAGTGGACCAGGAACTCCTAAGGATGGTTTTTGTGGTGCTTTATTGACTGTTCAGCATCTCCCGTTGAGAAGCTTAAGTTGTTGTCTCCTTGTGCGGCAGTCTGTTTGGCAAGATGCGATAAAATTAGTGTCGTGAAACCAAACTCCAGAGTCTGTGCACAAGCATTTAGCTCTGTGCCCAAGGAAAACCTTTTGGCTACAGGGGAAAGACTCTGGGCTAAAATGCCTGGAGGGAAAAAAATGGGGATTTCATTTTATAATTGCAGCTGTAGATAATGTAAGGCCTCTTTTCAGTGTGTCCAGGAGAGAGCAGGTAAGCAGAGCATGGGGGTGTGATGGATGGACACAGACACCAGTGACACAGCACGAAGTGAGCAGCCGAAGGGCATTAAATCATGTAAGCTGACCAAAAATTGTCCCAATTCCTGGGAAGTTAGGTGGTCTTGTTTTCGTATACTTGGACTAGTTGGGCAGCCTTTGGGCGCAAAGGAGCTGGTGAATCAATGGGCATCACTGAAGGTGTCCTGCAGCTGATCTCGCTGTCAGCCGGGAGGGTGTAGGAGCAAACCTCACCTTAGCATGGTCTGCAGTTAATTTGCGCAGCAGCAAATTCTCTCTCCTGGATGAGACTAATGAGCTTTCTAGCCTTGATAGGTGTCATCTCTTTGACCTGATTGCACTTTTCAGGAGTTCCTCTTGTTGTCAGTAAAGTCTCAGTCCAGCAGTTTTGATTGCACAGCTTCTTTTACAATATAAATGTATGGTGTGGTTTGTTTTTAATTTCTTTTCCCTTTCCTCTGCTATTTTTAGCTTGTTTTTAATTGGCACGAGAGGCACTGGATGTCAGCCTCGAGCAGCAGATTGCTCGGAGCTCTGCTGCAGTGGTTTCAGTGGAGGTCAGCGTGTTGTGGCACGTGTTGTGGCATGCTCTCGTGCCATGGAGCTGGCCCTGGTCCACTGGCACACTGCATTGTCCTGCATGGATTATGGGCATGCGGACGTGCCCCTTGCCCTAAGGTGAACCTCTTTCCCATCTGAAAGCCGTGGACTTAATAGCACAGCTGAAATGTAGGGGACAGCAGTGTGAACCCACCCCACCACACTGCCTTGTGTTCTCTACACCAGTTTAGTGACACATCCCGACCATAGACCTGGTTTAGGAGGTGGATCTCCTCCTCCAGGACCAGCCCCAGCCATGCTGGTGCCAGTGTCTGAGCTGGGCTGCGGCACCAGCTGATGCCAACAGAGAGGTTTCTGCTCGCTGTTCTTTCTAGCTGTCACATTTGTTCCCAAATACAATTATTTTGTCTTGCTGAGCTTAATAGGAATTAAAAAATCATTGTGAATCAGCCTTGGAGGGTGTGGGGGAGGGAGGGACAATAAACCACAGGCTGGGAAGTGACATGAAGATGGGCGATGTTTGAATGTTCTGCCAGATGACATCATCTCACAGGAGCCACTAAAGACCTGGCTGGTGATGCCAGGGGGACATGTGTCTCAGCGGTGCCACTGCTCTTGTGCAACCCTGAGTCATCGGCCAGCCACAGAATCACAGAATCACAGAATCTCAGGAGTTGGAAGGGGCCTCGAAAGATCATCCAGTCCAACCCCCCTGCCAGAGCAGGATCACCTAAACTAGGTCACACAGGAATGCGTCCAGGTTGGCCTTGAATGTCTCCAGAGAAGGAGACTCCACAACCTCCCTGGGCAGCCTGTTCAGTGCTCTGTAACCCTCACAGTAAAAAAGTTTTTCATCATGTTCACATGGATCCTCCTATGTTCCAGCTGGCTCCCATTGCCCCTTGTCCTGTCATTGGCTATCACAGAGCAGAGCCTGGCTCCTTCCTCCTGACACTCGCTCTTTACAAATTTATAAACATTAATGAGGTCACCCCTCAGTCTCCTCTTCTCCAAGCTAAAGAAACCCAGCTCCCTCAGCTGCTCCCCGTAAGGGAGATGCTCCACTCCCTCCATCATCCTTGCTTTCTACACCAGCCCCGTGCCTTCTGCACCAGCGTCCCCCAGTGTTGGAGCATCGAGCATCTCCGTGTGCTGGGTGATGCTTGAAGGTCTCTAGCCAACCTCCCTTCAGATGCTGGACGGCTCTCTAGTTGTGTTCATTGAACACAAGAGCTGTGTTTGGAGTTGATTTCTTGGTTTCATACTTGATTTGTAGACTCAAGATCCTTATCCAAACAGAAACCTTTTATTAGGCTGCTTGCCTCTTAAATACCCTTGTGCTTTTTTGCTCCTGGGTGGTGAAGCCACCTCTGCTCTTCCCAGGGAACACAGACCTGCAAGCTCTGGGGAAGGCAGGAGCTGACACCTTGCTTTTCTCCTGGTAGAGGTGGTGTGAAGAGGCCCCGGATGTGATGGTCACTGCCAAGGTGACTGGTGCTCATCAAACCAAGGACCAAACTATGTGCAGCTATCAGCAGGGGCTTCTGATGGTGGTGTGCTTCACACTGACAAATAGGCAGGAGATTAAGCACTCAGTTTAGTCTGGGCGTTGAAGGAAGCCCCATCACTCCAAGTGGCTCGAGGCACATTGGCTGGGATTTTCTTCCCTTTTCCCTGGGCCAGCTCTTCCAGGGCAAAGCTGGAGATGGGACCTCAAGTTATCCCCTTCAAACTGGTGCCTGGGAGAGAGGATTGGTTTCCCTTGGTCCTGGGCTTCCCAGTAGTGCAGAGAACATGAAAAGAGCTAAAATCCTTCTCTGTTGCTTTCACAGTCTCATCTCCTAGGCTTGAAAGGAGATTTGTGTGTGTTGTGCCACCAAAATAAGGTGGAGCTCATGGATACCCACTGCTCCTGGTCCACTGCAACTCTGACCAGGCGTTTTGGGTCCTTCGGTACAGGATGGCAGCAGAGAGGAAGGATCTGCATGAAGCTGCATGGCCCTGGCCAGCTTACAGCCCACTGGTGTTAGGTATTTGATTCCCCAGGGTGCAGCAGGTGGCTATTCTGGGAACGCAGCATTTACTTTAGTCGTTTCTTGGCAATTAAGACAGACTGAGCGACCGACTTAAAAAAAAACCCTGCAATAGTTGGTATATATAGCAAACTCACCACATTTCCACTCAGTCTCTCCCAAACCTGCCTCCTGTGCTGAATGAGTTTTTTGAGACCACGGTATGTGTGTGTTTGGGGTTTTTTTTTCCCTTCATTTTTTGGGGGGACGTTTTTCTGCTCTGCTGTGCTTATTCCTGGCTCCACAGCTCTGGCAGGCATCCTGCTGTCCCACAGCCTGGCACTGCCCGAGGATGCCAGCATGGGGGCTGCCTTCCACAGGGATCTTGCCTGGGACCTGGGATGTTTCCTTACTGGAGGGTTTTACCCCAGGCCATGGTTGTTGGTTTCTTGTCCAGCACACAGGCTGAGCCATCAGCATCCTTTCTGCCTGTTTTGGCTTTATGGCTGCATGTTGGGCTTCAGACTTGCCCTTTCCTGGTGCCTCTTGGGATGGAGAATTACCTGGTGGGAATGGTGGGTCCTGATGTTGGAGTTCAGACCCTCCTTGGCCATTGACTTCCAGAAGTAAATACATCAGCTTTTTTGGCCTTGTTTTCCCAGTTTCTGCCACTTTAGCTATAACTGGAGGTTGCTGTGTCTGTGTAAGCCCATGCTGGGAGCCTGGCTGGTGCTGCCATCCTCCCATCCCTCCTGTGGTCTGAGTTACGGGATCTGGGACTGAAGCTCCATTACCAGAATGCAGCGTCCCTGGATCTCCAGCATGGCTGTCCCTGGGGTTTATTTTTTTTTTGTCTCACACAAGGCTTTCTGTGTCCGCCTATGCCATGCTGTGTGGTAAACCCACACTTCCACCGGCTGCCTGCCAAGTTTGCTCTGCTCTTATCGCCGCTCTTGGCTGCGGGTTGCTGCCGATCGCCGCGGTGCTTACCCCAACAGCGCATTCTCCACGCGCCTTCCCGTTTCCATCACCCTCTCTGCGCTTGCCCTTCCAAGCTGTTGGAGACATAATTTCTTCCAGCCTGCTCGCAGCAGCTCAGGATGACAAAGTCTATTGAAGTCATGTCTTCTGGGCCCTTCCAGCCTCTTGTTTCTCCAAATGCTTGATGAAATCTATGAAAAATGGTCTGCGGTGATTTTTTTTCCTCCATTTTTTTGATTCCATGGAAGGCCAAGAAAGAAGAAACCACGTGAATGTTGTGGTTTGAGGTCTAGAGGGAAATGCTAGAGGGTTGCTGTTCTGGCTTGTGACACTTCTTGTTTTGCTTGTCCTTGCTGTTAGCTGCACAACCTGAAAGAAAGCAGTTTGGCATTGCAACCAGAAGGGTCTGGTTGAGGATCAGGGTTGTGTGAGAGCTTCAGCTCCTGGGAGAACAGGGCTCAGAAGCAAATGAAACAGCTCTGGCTTCAGTGAGCCTTGAGTCAGTGCTGAGCCTTGGCTGTGTGGGCGCTCCTGTCCTGGCTGTTGGCTAGGGTGGGTTCGTGTAGCCCCACGCACCCCGTCCTTGGGGATTCAGCTCCCTGCATGAAGCATGGTTCCTCATTTAGATGGATCCTACCTTGCCTACACTGGGTATCACGGTCTGCATTTAGGGATAGGTCTGCTGAATGCCTGGTGTGCTCTGTCTCTTGTGGTCACTGCAGGGTTTTTGGGTGGCTCTGGCTGAAGTCAGAGGAGAGACATGGCAGTGACAAAGATGCAAGATGCACATGCCTAAATGCCTCTTTACTTTTTTTCTTTGCAGCTTGACAGGACAGAGACGGCCGTGAACAACCTCAACCCAGCTTTCGCCAAGAAGTTCATCGTCGACTACCACTTTGAGGAAGTGCAGAAGCTGAAGTTTGCCCTGTTTGACCAGGACAAGTCGAGCATGCAGCTGTATGAGCATGACTTCCTGGGTGAATTCTCCTGCACACTGGGCATGGTGAGTCCCTGAGGTCCCTGCAGCTCACTGTCCTCCAGCAAAGGGAGCTCAAGTACATCAGCCACAGAGTATGTAGGGATGATTAGAGTTGCTACTCTTATCTACTGTAAAGTCTCTATCTACTGTAAAGTCTCCTGGGTTATTTCTGGCAAAACCAATTTAATTTTCTTGTCACACTTCAACTGTTGAGGTTGAACTGTTCCACGTTAAGGCTGTTGGCTACTAAAGTGGCCATAGTGTGGGCTGCTACTGGTGCCTGCAGAGAGACATCAGCTGGAAGCTTTTGGAGGTACTCATATCTCACATGGGTTCTAGTAAAAGCCCTGATATCCAGCCTGGATTTGGACTTGGGAAACTTCCAGATGTTTGAAGTTAGGATGCACTGTGGTCTACCTTTCTATCTCAGTTTTGGTTTTCTGTGGTTTATTTTTATGAAAGCTTGGTCTATTGCTGTTATATAGTGAATGCTTTCTCCTACTTTAGCATGTTACAGGAATGTGTCTTCTGCTCTTCCTGTGGAAAAGCTTTCGGGACACAATGTGATTTATAAACCTTTGGAAGGTCTTTGTGTTCATGAGCCCAGACCCTGTTAGAAGTTGGCAGCTGCATTCGCCAAACATCTTTGTCCTCTGAACTTGCTCTGACTCAGAGGCAGGGAATGAGGGGCATTTTTTCCATTCCTCTGCAGCATCTGGCTGCTCAGGGCTGCTGTGGTATCTGGCACAAGTGTAGGGGCTGGGAGAAAATGTCTCTGCTGTGGTCAGAGCTGGGAACCAGGGGGAAGCAGACACTGTAATGGGTTTGTCGGCATGGACAGCCAGCCCAAGGTGTTCAGGGAAGCTCATGAATGCAATTGCTTTATTACACAGGCTGCAATATGGCACTGCTCATGGCAAGGGGGGCTGAGTGACCTTACTATTGCCAACTCAAGAGCTTGATATGTTAGAAAAGCACTGATGCTTACAGAGGTTGAAGTATAACATCTGGGTTTTTGGGAGTGCTCTGTGATGACCTAATTCTGCTTCTGCAGAAGTTAAGAGACAGAGCAAGCAACAGCCCAGGCCGGTGTTCAGTGATTCAAACCCATCCTTTACTGTTCATTCTCCTGTTGCTGAAACACAGCCACCTCTGGTGTGGGACAGCTCAGCGAGGCTCATTGTGAAGGTCGTGGTCTGGATAGAAGCTGTGAGCAGAGAATTTATGGACATAAGAAAACAGAGCTGAAACCTTGCTGTTCCTAAATGTGGCTCTGCAGAAGTCCAGGGCTCAGCAGATTCATGCTGGAGAGGGATGTTATCTGTATGCACAGTGGAGGAAGGTGGAAGAGTCTGATCTATCTCCTCCTGCATGTTGAGTCTCCCAGAAGACCCCAACCCTTCCTGGTGCTTTGAGAGGTGATTAGCTCAGAGCATGGGACTGGACAGACCATCCTGGGGCTGTGGTAATGGTAGGAAAGGGCAGCTCTTGGCAGGTCTCACAGCCAAGATGCGTGCTCATGGAGTAGCCATGGTGGCTGATAGGCATGGCATAACTGTCTACAGTGTCTTCAGGCACAGCTGGTGGGCTTAGTCCGTCAGAAAGAGAGCTCTGAGTTTCTGTAATGTCATACAAGTATTTACACACATGTGCAAGGGTGAAAGAGGGGGTTTGTGTGTTTTCTGGTGGCTGGATTTTGTCTGGTGAGATGTTTCCATAAGCCTGCCTGGTTTGAGGCACGAGCAGCTCTTAGAAGGGAAGGAGAGCAGCCGTGGGCAGCAACAAATGCACAGCGAGCATCTGACTTCTCAGTTTCAGGTTTGCATCGGAGCTCTGTCGGATCAGCCAGATTGTTTTATTGCTGCTAATTAGGCCTGTGGTGAGATTTAAAAGGATGGTTGGATCATTTGCGGGCCTATAATGGCCTCTGTGGCCAAACAAGAAGTAACAGGGATCCGATTGCAGGCTGGAAGTGCCCGTGGTTTCTGCTAGCCTGGGTTTCAAGGAGATTTCGCCTCTCTGTACAGTGTGGCACAAACATCTGGTTATGCTGGCTGCTGATTCCTACGCATTTATGGATCAAAAGCACCAGGACATGGCTGGCTCACCACAATGGGAAAAGGTTTTTGCCTTCAAACTACAAGAATCATAAGGATCATAGGATGGTTTGGGTTGAAAAGGACCTTTAAAGGCTATCCAGTCCAATCTCCCTGCCATGGGCAGGGACATCCTCAACCAGATCAGGTTGCTCAGAGGCCCATCCAAACTGACCTTGAATGTTTCCAGGGACGGAGCATCTACCACTGCTCTGGACAACCTGTGCCAGTGTTTCACCACTGTCATTGTAAAAAACTTCTTCCTTCTATCCAGTCTGAATCTACCCCCTTTTAGCTTAAAACTGTTACCACTTGTCCTATTGCTACAGGCCCTACTAAAAAGTCTGTCCCCATCTTTCTTATAAGCCCCCATTAAGCACTGAAAGGCTGCACTAAGGTCTCCCTGGAGGGAAGAGAACATTTCTGGGGAGAAATCCAAGCGTGGCTGGGTCACCTTGATGGCAGAAGCAACACGTTAAGCAATTTAATGAGGTTTTTTTATGGTTATTATTATTTGGGGGTGCTGGCCCCTGTGCCTTGCTCAGTGGCAGCTGTGCCAGGGATCCAGAGTGATGCTGGGGGAGAGCATCTGCCTTGTAATCAGGATCGTCCCATGGAAACATGGCCTGAAAGCAAGTTGCTGGCAGGGGTCATGTTAGAAGTACTTAAAATGGGGTTTGAAAGGTTGTGATTTTGCTGGGAACAGATCATGGTAACTCCATCTGTGCGAGGTCCTACTGACCTGCTCCACGCCAAGAGCTGGTCCCTAGGCTCAACGGGAGGTGATGGTTCAGCATCTTGTGCCATCACTGCTCAGCCGCTGCCCTGCGCCCCACGGACTCAGGTGATGGTGGTGATAATCACGGTATTGCGGTCATCCCTGAGTGCGATGTCTGTCTTCTACAGTTGTGAGTGCTTAATCTGAATTAACTAACATGAGCAATGATCAGTTGCTTATGAGTCTGCTTTTCATCACTTGTACAATCATGGCTTTATTTTATTTGGCTTCTCTAGATTGTCTCCAGCAAGAAAATAACAAGGACTCTCCTTCTGGGGAATGGCAAGCCGGCTGGGAAGGGGATGATAACGGTACGGTTACTCCTTTACATTACCTACTGCATGTGTAAAGGTGGATCATAACCTGGGGTCCATGCAGGACACTCATCTGGTGTCCAGGAGATCGGGGTTTAACTCACCCTTTACATCCCATTTTCCTGCCCACTTTGATCTCTTTGGAGGACAGTTTATATGGGACAGGGACCGCCTTGCCCAGTGGCTGCCTGGTGCCCAGTGCTTTGAGTCTTCAACCTCTGCTTTGGCCTCTGAATTAAGAAAAAACAACTCAATTTGGAGCAGTACAAAGTAAACCTGTGCTGCTGCTGGTTGTTATCTGGTACAAGGCGCCTGCCCAGCCCTCCCTGGGGCAGCGGGGGGTCAGAGGGATGGTTTATTGCCAGCCAGGGGTGGTTTTGTTTGTTGGATAAGGATGGGAGCTGAGCCGTAGCAACAACTCTCATAGCAACAGCTGCTGCTCCCGATGCAGACCCCTTCGGGCAGTGGCCTTCCCGCTGCGGATCTCTTTAGCGATGGGTTTTTTTAAAAAAGAAAAGACTAAATTTAGACACATTTCCCTCCTCCCATATCTCCCAGCTTTTTTGGATTTCTTCTGTGTTACGGGTTTTATGAGATGTGCAGCCGAGCAGCAAAGGTGTGGAAGAAAAAGCCAGCAAGGAGTTAAACTTGCATCAGGTTTAAAAGTACTGGAGGGTTTAAAAGCCCAGGGCCTGCAAGAGCATCTCCATCGCTGTTTGCTCTAGAGGCTGGGAAGATGCTGCCAGCTTTTCTCTCTTAATTGCTGCAGTCTTTAAATGCGAGAGGAAAAGCCGCAGTGAAGTTCAGAAGTGGTGCCTTGATGCCATCCCCAAGTAACAGGCTCTCTGCACTCCATCCAATGCTTCCGTGGGGAGAGCTGGACCAGAGGAAAGGTTTCCAGTCAGGTTCAAAGCTTACGTACTTTAAAAAAAGGAAGGTCCCAATCTGTCACTGACGTGTCATTAAAAATCAAAGGGTCTGAGACGTCTGCTTCATTTTGTACCATTGGTGCAATTTTGTGATCTGTTTTTTTTCTTTGTCCTGGCTTGGTGATGACAACAGAGTCACACGTGGTGGGCACCTTTCCTCTGCTTGGCACAGCACTGGAGCTTGGCTATGGACATGAACCAAAAAGCAGGCTTCTGCTTTGGATTCACTCATATCAAACATGGAGTTTGGACCCAAACCTTGTTTTCTTCACCCCCATCACCTTCAATTTTGCCCAAGTATCATTTTCTTAGCAGAGATTCCAGAAGGGTGAATGCATCAGAAGAACCTTGGCTGGATGGACAGGATCGTGTGGGCGTCCCTAGGTTTGAGGAGACGGGGAAAATCCCAAAGCAAGCCACTGTGTTTGTAGAAATCAACCCTGAGATCTTGCCTCATGCCTCTGCCAGGCAGAGTGGTGGGGCTGTTGTTATTGCCCATGCTGGTCAAGAGAAGATGCCACTAGCAGCCTGTGGCAGTGTGGCACAAGGATGTGCTTGTCTGCATTTTATGTAGCCTCCAGTGAGCCTTAAAATGCTTTGCACCAACTGGGCGTGCTTTTGTGGGGATCAGCAAAGGATAAATTTCATCCACTTCCCTACAGCTCCTCTTCCTCACATTGGGTTTGGTGACCATGAGCGCCCGGCGAGGATTAGGTGGAAGAGAAAACTGATGCCATGACCTTGCAATGGGGAACTTCTGACTTCATGGCTATATGGGGCAGAGGAGGAAATTTGGATTTGTATGTGATGAACATATCCTCTGTGGACCAAAGAGCGGTGTCCTCCATGGAAATGAGTTGTTGGGGAGCTCATCCCTTTGCCCAGCTACCCAGGCAGATTCAAAAGCTGCATCTCTGCCTCCTCCTTTCTGCAAACTCCCCGCTCTCCTAAGTGCCAATAACCCTCTGATTGCTTGTTCTGCAGAAAATTGTTCCCTTGATTTCTGCAAGTTTTTCTAAAAGCCTTGCTGTAATTACACTGCGTTATCTCCAGTGAAGGACAGCTTCCTTGTGACAGCCAGCGAACGGCCACACTTGGGAGCACCACGTGGGAGGAAAATGTCCCTGTCGTGTTCCCGGGCGTGCCAGTGCCAGCTCCTGCCCAAGGAGGATGCTGTGGCTGGGGGTGCCAGGGGACGGCTCAGCCCACCCCAGGGAGCGGAGGAGGGAGAGGTGGGGAGCAGATGCTTGGGCAGGACACAGCCTTGATGAAAAAAATACAAGTGATTCAGAAAACGGCTGGTAACAGAAGTGAATAAGTGTGGGATTTTTTTTGTTATAAACATTCTCTTTCTTAAAATACCAAGAGACTCATTAGACCGCATTCCAGACAAAACCGGCCCACTGGTGGTTGGCAGCTGAAGCCCTTCTGGAGCATATGTGAATAAAGTTTCAAACTGAAGTAATCTGCCTGCACTCCTGCCTGCTGTAGCTCCTCAGGAGCAACAGTGGCATTTTCATCCTTGGGTCCGTCTTGTTGGGTGATCATGCAGAGACGTGGCTTGGGTCCTTGGTGCTTCTGGCATCTCCCGCAAAGGATGGAGCAGATGCTTTTTGCCATGCCTGGCAGGGGACATGGAGGATGAGGTAGCACGTCTTACTGGCAAGGCTTTTGATGACTCCTACTTTCTCTCAGCTTGGTCCTTGAAGGCTTCTCCAGGTGCTGAATGAGCCCTGGTGCAAAAAAGCCACATGAGACCCAAGAAAGGGGATGAGTTTGTTACCAGAAGCATCATTTTAGACCTGTTGGCATGGGGGAAGGAGGCTGCTTGGGGTGTCCTGGCACCTCATTCTCCCTTCAGGTTGTCCACTCAAGAGATTTAACTGTACCTGTTGATTCCCAGCCCTGCAAATAAATGTGTTTCACATGCACCTAGCCCCAGCAATGAGGCTGTGGAAGTCAGTGGGTATTCTGAGGGCTCACTTACTTTTTGTGCTGAAAATGAGCACATCTTTCCCTTCCCTTTCAGATAGCTGCCCAAGAGCTCTCAGATAACAGGGTGATTACTCTGAGCATGGCTGGCAGAAAACTGGATAAAAAGGTGAGTGGGGTCATGTCTGGGGTTAAACTTCTGTCCTTTGCAGGCTAAGGGGTCAAAAGAAATACCTGCTTTTGGGTAAAGGAGCGACAGAAAATAGTCCTACTGTAGAAAACATTAGGGCGAGACTGGGGAGTTCAAGTCCTGACTGCTAGGTGCGCCTATGCCTCAGTTTCCCTATTGCCATGGTATTGCTTTCTTCGTTACACGTGTTGAGATGGAGAGATTACGTGTGGCACAGGTTCTGTGTACTAGCATGGCTTAAAGACACCAGATGTACTGCTGTTTGACAATGTCTCCTGACAGAGCTGGTGGTTTTGATGTCCCTTGAACTCATATCTCAGAAGTGCTGAGAGCTCCTGGCTCGTTGCCTTCAGCCCCTTTGGAAACGGTGTGCACATCTGCTGGTGTGTCAGACAGCAGGGCCCGTCTTTTCCGAGCAAGAAGCGTTGACCTCACAGAGGCTGCACGGGTTTTGCCTTGGATGTGATACATAGGAAACTGTGAGCCTTTCTGAACAAAGGCATCTGACCTTATTTACCAGGCAACCAGAGCTATTCCTCTTAAACCAGTGCTGTTGCTAAGCGATCGGTGGGACCATGGGTTTCTTCCTTCCTCCTAGTCTCTCTGGCGCTTGCGTTATTGGCAGGATGGCCCTCAGTTCCAAAGCAGGGTAAAGCAAGCATCCAGCAGAAGGGTATTTGCTGGGGCAGAAGATGTGGTTTGTTCAGTCCTATTCTCTAGGATGTCCCCATCCATCTGGGATAGGTGCCTGGTTTATCCAAGTGTTTTTCCAGACTATTGGGAACGGCTGTTTTTTCGCTCATCTGCTTACCCTGCCTAGTGCAAGGAGCCAAATGCCCCAAATAACTCAATTTCATGAATGGGCTGGAAGATGTCCTCAAGCTGGTGTGGCTTCCTCTGAGACGTGGCTGAGGGTCAATCCCATGCTCGTCAATGAAGACATCCCTAAAGGCAACAATTTTCTTCAGGTACCCCAGGAAAAAGCCTCTCCTCCCTTGCAAAGCAAGGGATGGGATTTCAGTGGCGTTGGTGCCCTTCCTTCGTGCTTCAGGGTCCCTTTGCAGCCATGACCATTGGGAAAAGCAGGACCAAGGACTCGGGTCCTCTCCACAGCACTGGTACCTCAGGCATTCATCCACTTGTATTGACAACTTCATTGGTGGCATCACTTGCTCCATGGACAGGAGTTGCCTTTCTAACCTGGTTTGCAACCAAGTTCCTCTACCAGCTTATGCAAATGGGACATTTTTTGAAATTCTTCAACTAGGACATGATGCCTGTGGGTCTGCTGCTTTTCAGAGCCACAGTCAAGGCATGAAAATTCAGCATCTACCTGCTTACGCTGGGATAAGGACTGTGAGTAACCCTGTGCTTTCTGGGTCTCCTTCAGTTTATCAGTAGATGTCAGTAGAAAGCCTGGGGGGTAAAACCATCCTGCACCACACAGCACAGAGCCGAGGAGCATGTCTGGAGACTTGGACATCATGTGTAGGGACTGGATCTCACAGGATTTCGTGGAATTGTCTTGCTGCACACACCGAGCCGAAGCTGCGAGCACCCCTTACCTTCAGCAGTGCCGCAAGGCCAGCCTGGAGCTGTGTTCAGCCCCAGGCAGCTCCTTCTGCTGTGAGCACCTTGAGGCCAGGACATAATCAGGCCACGGGCAGGTCTTCCCCCTCTTCACACATCCACAGTTTCTCCACTGGCAGCTCACTACCTTGCTTCAGATGCTGAAGCTGCACAGCAAGAGCAGGTCAACGGCGGAACTAGCCTCAGGCTCTTGTACCTTATGTCAGATCAGCTCTTGAGAGAGTTGTTTTAAGAAAAAATAACTTACAGAAGAGGTATTTTCACCCAGGATCAGCCCTGGCAGACTCAGCCCTGGAGCCATGTGTGCCACTGCAGCTGCTGGGACAGCAGGAGAGCAAGTGCTGCAGGCTCGGTGCTGGAAGCCATGGTCTGGGGAGCTGCTTCTGCTGAAAGTGCCACCTCTGCCCTCCTTGCCTGTGGTGTATGAGGACTATTTTGGATTATTTAGATGCTTGGACCGGTTTGCAGGTGGATCTGGTCTGCTGACCTCCTTTGGTTCCTCAGTTCCTATCCCCTGCCAGGCTTGCAAGGGTAAGATGTTTGTGGGTTTGATGTTTTAAAATAGCAGCCCATGATCCTGTGGCTTTGAGGCATCTCCAGCCCTGCTTTGGATGGAGCAAGGCTGACGGGACTTGCAAATCCTGCATGGGATGGCAGCAGGCATTCTCTAAAGCTCACCAGAGCCAGTGCCTCCACCAACACACGCTGTGTTGGCGCTGATGAAACCATGTTGGGTTAAGCCAGCGTAGGCAGGGTCAGGTCCTCACCACCACTGGTACTTTAGTCCATCAGTGAAGCTCGAAAGCACCGAGCAGTGATCAGGAGCAGAGCTGTGCCATAGCGGTAACCCTACAGAAAGGATGCCTTGGTTTTCTTTCTCACAAACGTGAAAAAGGGTAAGGAGAAAAATAGCCTCATCTCACCAGAGCGCGTCCCTGCAAGCCTTTATGGTCTGCCCTTCTGGCAGAAGAGTTTTGACTGAAGCAGGTTATAGTTTCTCCAAGCCAGAGCACTTTGAAGTGATTTACTTTTCCAGCTGGCTTTGGAAACAGGATTTGGATAGACATGGTAATGGGTTTTCTGCTGGGGCATCACTACCTCCTGTGTCCATCCCAGCTGCCACCTCCGGGCTTGGCTGTGAACAGAGGCTCCTGGGGCATCCATGCTTCCTCCTCCACTGCCAGCCCCCTGCATCCCCACCACATCATTTGGAAGCCCAAAAAGCTCCTGTTCCAACGTGTAAGAAGTTCCTCCAGCTCTTCATGGGACTCCAGCAGCCACCTCCCTGTGGGAGGAAAACCCAGCTAAAACGGTTGAGTTCCCAGTAAATCATCTGGAATATTTTGGGCTTGGTTTCTCATCTGCCACATCTCAGTTTTTCTGAATGGCAATGAAGCTCTGCTTAGAAACACTGGAGTTTCCCTGTGTCAGTGCCATCTCTTCAGACTGGGGGTGCTTTGAAGCAGTCCCCCGTGTCGATAGCCAGCAGGGACATGTGTGTCTGTGTAGATACTTCTCATAAACCAGGAGCCCTTTATTGGGGGAATATCTGAGGAGATGCTGGCAGAGAAGGCAGCACACACTGACTCAGGGCTGCGTATCTCAGAGGGTGTTACATGATCTCTGTCAACACCAGGGCAGCTTGCTCCTTAAAGATTTCCTCTGCTCATGCTTTACCGCCGTGTGTAGGAGGGTGTTTGTTTTTTTTTTCTTTCCCCCAAGACACTCGTATACTTCATAATTCTGTTTTCCCTTGAAGCTTTGGATGTTTTTCCAAGCCCAAACACAGCTGCCTCCCAGTCGGGGTTGTTTTCTGTGGCATCTGTGTCCAGAGAGCTCGCCGGGTGGTGGGCGCCCATCAGCAAATCCCATGGGTGTGGAATCAGTGCTGAAATCTGGTGCGAACATCAGTGGGATTTGCGTGACCAGGACATGGAGGGGTGGCAGGGTGCTGCCTGTTGGCGCTGCCTGTTTGCTGTGTGCTTGAGCCGGTCTCGTGAGGACATGAGGGTGTACGTGGGGTCACTCTTTAACCAGCTGTTGCTGCTTTCAGAGCACTGTGTAACCTGTCCTGTTCTTCTCCCCCAGGACCTGTTTGGAAAGTCAGATCCCTTCTTGGAGTTTTATAAACCAGGAGACGATGGAAAATGGATGCTGGTCCACAGAACAGAGGTGAGCGCGGCTTTAACCCCCGCTGCTGAGACAACACCTTCCTTACATCAGCTCCTCTTGCCCTTCATGGCATTATCTCATCAATCACCCATAAAGCAGGGTGAGATCCAGGGATTTTAAAACTTTACAGCTGCCTTCCCAGTGCCCAGCTGGACTCCAGCAGACAGAGATTTACTGAGGCCAGCAGGGTCTTGAGATCTTTTCTGTCCTACTCACCACTGTATGTACCAAGCAGAGAGGGGGATGATGAACACTCAGGCTCATGTCTAACAGAGCCAGAGCTTCGGCCAAGCAGGCAGAGACCTGTACTGGGGACACAGTGAGTATGATCACAGGGAGCTGACCCCTCCCTGTCCCCTGTCAATACCTGCTGCCATATTTTGATCTGAGCTCCCTCTGGTTATGTTCTCAAGCTGCTAAAGCCAGTGATGTGAATAAGAGGCACAGCATGAGCAGGGAGAAGCTTGCCCGGAGGGCTGGGATGGGCAGAAGGCTGGCTTCTGCTTTAAAGCCAGGCTTGGAAACACTTTTCAATGGATTTCCCCCCCCCCCCTCAAACCTTCTTTCAAGTTTTTTTGGGTTTGTTTTTTGCACATAGTTCCTGGCAGCTGGCAAGAGGAGGAGGGGGCGATAGCTGCAGGGGTGGCTCACAGCAGCCCCCACACTGGAAGAAGAAGATCCTGTCGCACCCCACCTCCCACCCCTCCTTCTCCCACCCCCATCTCACCCCTCCTCTTTTTCTTGTCTTTTTTTTATTTTTCTTGCTCCACCGCAGCAAACTGCTGTAACAAAACACAGCGTGAGCTCACGTGGAAGGAGAGGGTGGTATTTATTTACAAAGTGTCTCCATACGTTGGTTTTTCCCACTGCTGTGCAAAGTCCATGAGGATTTCCTTCACTCGCACACCCATGTGCACACAAGCATCAGGGCATTTGTACCCCCACGAGTCCTGTGGCACCCATATGGGCCGTCCTTTTAACCCAAGCTCTACTGTTTGTTTTTCAGTGCTTTCCCACACACGTTTCCATGCATATGTAATTCATACCAACCTTAACATTTCTCTTGTATTCCTGCGGGAGCAGACTGGGACCTTGCTTTGTTGTTTCCTCCCTGTTTCGTGTGGGTAGCTAGGCTTTGACTCACCAAGACACATTTCTCAGAGATGGGGATTTGGAGTGACCTCCAGCCCTTCCTCTTGGGAGAGGGGTGGGAATTGGGAACATGGCTGTGCACCAGCCGTTGATGGGGTCTCTATGAGTTGGTCAGGTTTATGGGGAGGATGTGTATACACTGATTTTCCCTCTGGGTTGCTGCCCAGTTCCTCCACTGTCCTGTCTCACTGAATAAGGGTCTGGCCCAGTTTCCTTTCAAGTAATGGATACTCCAACAGCCTCCTCCTTACCAGCCCTGAATGCATCCCGCTGCCCTCAGAGGAATGCAATGCCAGGTGACCATCTTTGTGTTTTGAGACCAGATATGAAGAAATAAGGTTGCCCATTCTTGCAGCTTTCAGTGCAGGAATACAACCACCTCCGAGTCTGACGCTGGCATTTCTCGTGCTACCGCGGAGGTGTCCTTAGGAAGGATTAGTGTGCTCCTTACAGTGTGTTATTGAAGCGCGAGTGCGAGAGCCCAGCTGGGCACTGGGTGATGGAGATGTCGGGTCCTTCCCCACCCACCCCGGGGCCCTGGCAGCTGGCAGCATACGGGCACCATCTCGGGGTGTGTGGGCTCCCCCTGCTCTTCCCAGCCTCCCGGAGGAGTTGTTTACAAATTCTTGACTAAACCAGGCTCACGGTGTCAGGGTTTCCCCCAGTCTCGCACAAGAGCCTGTCTATAAAACAAGACACCCGTTCTGGGTCCCACATGGCTCTGCCTGCAGCAGCAGCCATGGGCCTCTTCCTCACTGGGCTGTGAAGGTTCTCCATGCCAGATATCCCCATGTTTACCCTTAGAGAAAGGTTAATCTGCCTGCATCTGAATTTTTCCTAATAATCACATGAATCTCTTTTTTGAGCACAACACCCTTGTGAGAGAGGGTCTTCATTGGCCCTGCAGGCATCTCCGATGTACACAGCGTGTGCCTGGAGCCTGCCAGCACTGGCTTCGGTTTCCACCAAGCGATTGCATCCTCTCCGGAAATGTCAAAAAGCATCAATTAGTATTTCTCTAGCTTGGGCAGCAGATGTTACACAGATGAGGCAAGAGCTGGACGTGCCCAGGGCTGTTTGGCTTTTTCAGCTCGTTGCTATGTCCCACCACTCTATCTTCTCGGTGGTCAGACCCCAGATGTATGTAGGCTGTGCTGGGGGGGAGTAAACAATGAGTAGGGTGCAGGTTTGTTTAATTGCCCCCATAGGTGGTTAAATCACCAAATCTGTTGCAAACGAATCTGTTGTAACTCATGCATGGTACAGCCTGAGAAGGAGGAGCTGGTGTGTCTAAGCTAAGAAGACAAAATTGGGCAGATATGGGGCTTTCTGAGGCTTGCCTGGCCTGCCCCACTGAGAACTGTGTCCAGGGTCACTCTTGGAGACGTGTCCCCCACTTTGTGTGAATCCCCGCCGGCAGACGTGCCCGTTGTGATCGCATCCCCCCCTTCCCACCCCGCAGGTGATCAAGTACACACTGGACCCCGTCTGGAAGCCGTTCACTGTGCCTTTGGTGTCACTGTGTGATGGAGATGTAGAGAAGCTGATAAAGGTAATCGGGGGTTTCCTTTGGGCTTATGTTGTGGTGAGCCTCTGGAATCAATCATTAAACATCTAAAACCCAATGGCTGGTTTATTAAAAAAAAGCCCAAACACACCAAATCAGAACTACCCCCAAAACCCAGAAATCTCCAGCAGGAGAGGTTGGGAACTTCAGCAGGTCTCCTCACAGGAGAGAGTTACTGGGTCTGAGGCTGGTGCTCCTCCTGCCTTAGGTGACGTGTTACGACTACGACAGCGATGGGGGACACGACTTCATCGGAGAGTTTCAGACCTCGGTGGCCAGGATGTGCGAAGCCCAAGATGCCCTTCCGGTAAGTGCTGACACACTGAATGAGGAAAGGGCAATGGATTCTGATGCTTGCACTGAGCCCCTCAACCTGTGCCAAGAAGAAGCCAAGTCCAACGCCCTTTCTCCTCCCACCCACACCATGAGTGACCCAGGCCATGGTTGTAGCTAAAGCATCCGAGCTAGAGAGAGGACTAAGGCAGTCTGAGCTGAAAATAGAGCTCTGGTGAGATATCTGAAGCAGTACCAGTGATTCTGGGGGTGTCTTGGGGTTTGCGGGGCCAGAAGGGGGTATGTGACACGCTTGTAGAGCTGCATCTGCTGCAGGGATAGCCTGGTCCCCAGGAGTGCCAGCTCCTGTACAACTCCATGCCAGTTTTGTGACCAAAGGTGTCCCCGTCTTCCCCCTGAAGTGCTGGCCGAAAGCCTTGGCAGATGCCGCCTGACTGAAGGCATGAGGTGAAGACTCCTGGGTAAGCAGGGCTTTTCACTGCCATCATCGCTAGGATTACAAAACCAGGAGGAGACCTTGGCCGAGATGTGGAGGGTGTAAAACACCATGTGTGGTGCAATGAGAGAAGTTTCCTGGCTGGGGAAACTGAGGCACAAAGGCATGAAGGGTCCTGACCAGGACTGTGCAAGCTTTTCTCTCCGTTGGACCCTGGTTGATGCTGGTTAGAAGAGAGCAAAACTCGCCTTGCTTTGTGCCTGTGCTGCTGTGCCTCTGTGCTTGACATGGGTCCAGTGGGGGACAGGCTCTCTCCCCCTTGCCTGGCTTGTCACAAAAGGTCAGGCACCCTCCATTCCCTGGTAAAGCTGATGCAGAGCTGCCGTGGGCTCTGGGCGGAGGAAGATGGCTCTAAAAGCAGCTGCTGCTCGCCACTGCTGTCTATCCTGCAGCATCCTTCTTCCCTGGGGCGGCTCCTCGTGACTTGTCTCATCCTTTCATATGGTCACACTGATGAGGATAAATACAGAAGCAGGGACAGAGATGCTCTTGCTGTAGACCAGGCTCTGCGTGATCATGTGCTTGCAGGCGGGAGCAGCACCATCCAGCCACAGCCTGGTTGAGACAGGGGAAAGGCTCTTTGCCATGTCCAGGGCCATCACTGGGCTGGTCTGGGCAGGTCCAGGGCCATCAGCAGGCTGGTCTGAGCACGACACTGTGAGGGGGCACAGGCCAGCCACCACTGTCCCATGTAGACCCATGTAGGAGCTACCTGCTAGCAGGTCTGGGCTGGACCATCTGCACGGACTTGTTCAGAATTAGGGCATTTTGTCAATAGATCGGTATTTTTATTTTGTTCTGGCTGTGAAATGCAACGTTCACATTCAGGAAACTTAATGATATCAGTATTTAAATGTTCCCATTTTTCTGCAGCTGGGAGAATGGACGTGACTTTCTCTTCATGCTCCCCCTGCCCAGTGCTGCCCTTTCCCCCAGACCAACTTGGATGTAAATTTTCTTCTTGGACAAGAATTTTTATTCAGTTTCATTTAATTTTCTTTTTAAATTGAAGTTTTGCAGCAATTTTCTGAACTTTCAAAAGCCATTTTGTTTTCCCCCAGCTTTTAAGGAAAAGTGGTGGCCTGCCCTAATTATTAACGTATTTGACACATCCCATCCTGTAGACTCCTGTAATCTCATTGTGGGGTCTCAGCTGCCATGCGCCAGGTCCTGGCAGGTTGAAAGCCCCTGGGAAGGAAAAGCAGCCCCTTCCCAAGCAGGTCCTGTGCCTCCATTTCCACCATTAAATACCAGTAGCTCGCTGTGATTAATTTACATCTCTTCAGCTCTTTGAAATGCATAGAGTGCCCGTAGAATGTGACCGCTGGTGGCATCTGCAGCAGCCAGCACAGCCCAGCTCTCACACCGGGGTCTGTCTGTCCTCTGCTACAGCTCGAGCTGGAGTGCATTAACCCCAAAAAGCAAAAGAAGAAAAAAAGCTACAAGAACTCTGGGATCATCATTGTCAAGTCCTGCAAAGTGAGTACGACACCGGGATGTTTCCTTCTGCTCCTTGAGTCTTCCTGAGCTCCCCCCCACCCTGCTGCCTCAAACACCCTTGCGTTTCCAAGTGCAGGATCTACTTGGGCTTCTCTCCACTTGGAGCATCTGATGTACCCAGTCACTGGTGCCACCCCGTGCCTGGGTGACCGCAGACCCAAATGGAGATGTTGTTCAACATGGGCAGCATCTGCACAAAGCCCAAGCGGCGGGCACCTGCCAACTGCTTGATGTCTTCTTGGAGGCAAAGGTTGGGTACAGGTGGGAGAGGTCCTTCTGAGCCGAGGTGTTGGTGAAGTCCTCCCTTCGTATGGCAGCAGCTCAGTGGGTAAAGCGCCGACACAGCTCTTCTCACACCAGATCTGCAGGTGGTGTGAGGTTGTTTTGGCCATTCAGTTCACTGTGATGGGCACTTCCAGCTCTCAAGGATCCCTGTCCAGGCCTCCCACCGCAGCTTTTGACCAACATGTGGTCCTGCTTGGCCCCATATGTCTCATGAAGTGCTAAAATGCTGCCATGGGAGGCGCAGGTGGTTCTTGCCATTGCTTTGCCTCATGGCTGAAGGTCCCCAGAGGCCTGAAGTGACCAGGCTTGGGCACCTTCCATGTGTTTATTTATTTATTTATTGTCCTGCAATGGTGAAGATTGCTGAAACACACTTTTTTGTTGTCTTCCAGATAACCAGAGATTTCTCCTTCCTGGACTACATCCTGGGAGGCTGCCAGCTGATGTTCACTGTAAGGACTTTTGTTTCTCTTTGCCCAGTAATAACAACGCGTATGCAATGGTCAAAACTGGGGAGGGCGGTTCGGCATGAGATTTGGCACCAGCTTGGGTGGCTTTTCGTAGCAATGAGGATCTGCCCCATTTTGCTGTTAAACCATGTGGTTTTGGGGCTTTGGGGATGTTACTGCCATGCTCAGATGCATCCAACAGCATGAAGGGAACAGGCTGGATTTTGGCTGAAGGTCAGCCTTGCACAAAGACCTTCTGACCCTTCACAATGTTATTGACTTCTCACCCCATCACAGGGCTTAACCACCTTCCATTTTTAATGAAAGCTCTCCTTATTTTGAGAGGCTTTGGGCTGTTAATGAGATGGTTTTCTGTATTTTTACTGATATTTCCACCTTCCTTCAAGCTGGACCACAGCTTGCCAAGAGTAACTACACGAGGACTTTACAACCCCAAGCAAAACTGCCACAGCGCAGAAGTGGGGTTTTTAATTTCTGCAAACTTTTCTGATGCAGTATCTGGAGAGCTGCAGGCACTCGCAGTATTTCAGTTTGTGTTTTGTTGTTTCGTCTAAAAAACATGATGTGGGGAGAGTAGGAGGAGGAGGAAGAGTTGCCATAGGAACAGGAGCGATTGGGAGAGCTTTTTGTGTGCCGTTCTGCCGCTAAGGTCTTGGTGCTGGCGAGTGAATAGAAGAGAAAATCATTGAGTTTATTGGTAGCACAGAGCTCTTGTGTGAATTAGGCTTGAATGCAGAAATCTTTCTCCCTATCTAAATATATGCTGGTTGTTGAGGGTTTTTCTCCCCCTCCTGAGACATCTTTAGTCCAAAAACATGGATGGATTTGTGATGATTGTAATGCTCCACAGAAACAGGGAGGAGGACACTGCTGCACGCACCCCTGCAATTTGGAAGGGCCACTGGTGTCCTCCCCGCTGAGGGAGATGTGGGGGAAAGAAGGGCTGAAGCTGCAGAGAAGAAGGGTATCGTGCCTGGTCACTTGCTTTGTGCTAGAGGCAGAACAGCTGCATCCCGCTGAAATTTGTTGCCCAAGTGCTGCTCTTGGTGACATTGCTTGCATGGGCAGCGCACGCATCTGCCTGACTCCACTGAGTCCCCTCTCGGTGCCTCAGTTTCCCTCTTACTCTCTGACCATGCCCATGGTGGCTCAGCAGGAGCTGGATACATGAGTGTAGATGTTACAGCAGTGAACCTCAGGTTGGGAAGGCTGTGAGGTTACTTGACAAAGAAGTTGCGTTTTCATAGAATGATAGGATGGTTTGGGTTGGAAGAGACCTTTGAAGATCATCTCTGCCCTCAGCAGGGGATTGGATTGATATCTTCCACTAAACCAGGTTGCTCAAAGCCCCATCCCATCTGGCCTTGAACATTTCTGATGATGGGGCATCTGCAACTTCTCTGGGCAACCTGTGCCAGTGTTCCACCACCCTCATTGTGCAACATTTTTCCCTTCTCTCCAACCTAAACCTACCTTCTTCCAGTTTAAAACCATGTCCCATTGTCCTGTCAAGCCACCAGCCACCCTGGCACAGGGTGGTGGCACATTCTGGGTTGTGACATCTTCTTACCCGAGCCAGGCCAAGTTCCCTTCTCATCCGAATCACAGCTCAGCCTCTCCCATTACGGGTACGGAGCAAAATCCCTCGCGAATCCCCTGAGCTCAATTTAGCCGGCAGAGTTATTTTGGGTTTTGCCTATTTGCTAAGCAAACACGGCGAGCGCAGTCACGCCTCCCGCTCGCCTCTTCTCAACTCTTCCTTCCCAGTTGTTTCAAATCGGGTGGCTCAGCGTCTCGCCTCTTCTGACCAGATTTAACTGGGGCTGAGATAGGCATTTCTACAAATGTCTTTAAATAGAAAGTCTAATTGAGGAGGGAGAAAAACGTGTGCTTTGCTGACAAAGTCCTCTGAGAGCTCAGCATATGTTGGTCTCTGGTGAAGCCCAGTGAAGAGTGGCTGCGGGGAAAACTCTGCCCATGGTTGTGACTTTTTGGTCAAAGACTTTGAGGTCCAAATGCCCAGGTGGCCCTGGCCACTTTGGTGTCCATGGGGCTACTCAGTTCTTGAGCTTGGAGGAGGAAGGAGCTGGAGATGGTGGTGGCTTGCTCCAGGAGCACGGGCTGCTGTGGGAAACGTTATGTGATGTTTGCTGGTGAAAAATGCAGGTGTAATAGGGAATGGCTCAACCTGATCTAGTATTGAATCAGGTTTTTTTAGGGAAGGTGAAGAGATGGATTTTGTTAAACTTTTTCAAAAGTTTGAGGTTTGGGACTCTGTGTGGACCTCGAAGGCAATGGAGGCTCAGTGGCCAGGTCTGTGGTGGTGTCTGCTAATGGAGGACTGCTTTGTGCTTCTCTCTTGTCCCGCAGGTTGGGATTGACTTCACGGCCTCCAACGGGAACCCGCGAGACCCCTCCTCTTTGCACTACATCAACCCCATGGGGACAAATGAGTACTTGTCAGCCATCTGGGCTGTCGGCCAGATCATCCAGGACTACGACTCGTAAGCACTATGCCCTTGCTTTTGGAAAGCTCCTTGGGATAAAATTGCCATGTGCATTGGGATGCAGGAGGAGGAGGGATTAAGGACAGGATTTCTCCTCTCCCCCCATTGCTGCTGTTGAGGGAAAGGGTGCATCAGCAGCGGTGGAGCATCCTTTTCTGGAGACAGCTGGAGAGCAGCTGCTCAGTGCTTTTTTGGCACAGAGGCAGATGCCCTTGGCTTGCTGGTGTTTGCTGTGGGCAAGTGCACTGCCAGGCTGCCTTGTTCCCTATCGCCTTGAGGTGTGCAACACAGGAAAATATCATCTTAGACATTGACAGAGAAAACAAAACAGAAACCTGTTGGTCTCGCCATGCTGGCTTTTGTGACCAAAATAGGTTGTTATTTTTTTCTTTAAATTTCAAGGGTTACACATCTACAAGAGACTCAGGTGTCTGGGTGAGAGGATGCTCCTGATCACTGTGGACGATGAAGCAAAGCTCGGCTCTTTTTTTTTCTAAAGATCAAAGCCAAAGGAGAACGTCTGTTCTCTCTCTGTTCAGCTTTCATTATTTTTCAAGGCACTGTGCTGTTTGGGGAGAAGGGAAGATTGACACCTGTTTTAGCTGGCGCTTTTGCTGTAGCTGGGCATTGGGCAGCTGGTGGCACAGGGAGCCATGCAAACCTGCTTCACGTGTGTAAATACACCCATACGTTTTTCTTCTCTTCTAGAGATAAGATGTTTCCTGCCCTGGGATTTGGTGCCCAGCTCCCCCCAGACTGGAAGGTGAGGTGTTGTGGCCATCTACACGTTTGGAATGGTTTTATCCTGGTGTTGCCTGGGCAGGAGCTGAGCTGCTGGGGCTTCCCAGCGGGCTTGGTCGGTGAAAAGCTCTTGGGCAAAGGGGGAATGGGTGGACTTGGGATTTCAGCTGGTGGAGAGCGAGCTTTGGCAGTGTGGGTGGGCAATGAGGTGGGGATGGGGCACAGGCAGCCCCCTCCTACCTTCTGAGCTGGCACGAAAGCAGAGCTCCTGGGCATTAATGGGTAGAGCCAGGCATTGATTCATTTTCCTGGCAGGAGGCAGGAACAATTGCAGGCAAAGGAATGATGAGTGTGTCAGACAGCAGTGAAGGCAGGAAAAGGGCTGGGAGCTGTGTAACCCCTATGTGATGCTGCACAGGCAGAGCCTGCAATAACTGGAGCAGAGGGGCTGTCCCAAAAGCCATCTTGATCTTTTGTTGGGATTAGACACCAAAGGGGTTAAAGGCACCATGGTCCTGCATGGGCAAGAGCTGGAGCATCCTGCTCATCAGGAGGGATGTGGTAGGCAGAGGTTGGGGCTGCTCCTGCAGCCCACGCTCGCTGATGGAGAGCATCTTCTCATGGCTGAGATGACGTTCTGGGACACCATCATCTTCCATTACTGGCTGGGTCTTTTGGCTGCTTGTTACTCATGCCCTTAATGTGTATTTTCTTTCTGCTTGCTGGTTTTGAGATGTTGAACCTCAGCCTTCTGTTTTCTCTGGGAGAGTGGCTTTGCTTTGGGCTGAGCACAGCAGGGCACATAAGTCACAAGTGGCCATGAATTGAGATGGAAAGTTCATCGTTGCCAGCCCTTGAGGCTGGGGATGTCCTGCCTGTTCTGGCTTTGCTCTTTTCTCCGCTCTCCATGCAGCCAAAATTCATGTGACTCAAGTGGGAGCTTGCTGTTTGCCAGGCACAGGAGGAGATCCCTCTGCGTGCACCCTGGAGCTGATTCATCCTCCTTGGCCGGCAAATGTCTCTGGTCTGTCACTTCACCACTCTGGGTGGGAAAAACTTGGTAGGCAGCTTCCAAGGACTAGCAGCCGGCTGCCATCAGGGATTTATTATTTGGGGAGAGGAACGGGAATGGAAAGCGCAGTGGGGATGGAAAGGGAACAGCAGCTTCCCCAGCAGCTGATGGGGGAATGGGTGAATGGGTGAATGGTTACAGCAAGCATCCCTCAGTGTCGCTGGGCTGGAGACGGCCCTTCCTGCACTGCTGGAGGTGAGTACGGGGTCAGGGATGCTGGCTGGGAGCTGGGGGGCAGAGGGATGCTCCTCCTCTGCCCCCCCTACAGCTGCAGCCGGCTGCAGAAGTAGTTCCCATTGTTCCCACCGGCCTGGGGATGCTCTGTAAGCAGTCCTGGAAAAAACACCTCATTTTCCCCCAGGATGATGTCTCAGCCCCCATAAACCCCAGTGGAGAAGAGCTCTCCCTCTGCTTGGCCCACACCTATAGGTCATCAGCCCTAACACTCAGAGTGACCCATCAGTTGTCTCATGTTAGCGGTGTGGGCATCCCCTGTGCATCCCCCTGCACCGCTCCAGCCTGGGGCTTCATCCCTCCCCAGCTCACCCAGCTCTCAGGGTCTGTGCATCACCAGCTCAGCTCGCTTGTTAAAGGTTTTTTAGCCATTAAGGCTCATCTGAGTAATTTCAAACCCAAAGCAGCAGTTCATCACTGAAACCCCTGCCTCGTGTGACAGCGGGCAGGCTGCGGGGAGCAGCGTGGCCGAAGACACTTCCTGGGGAACACAACGAAGGGCGGCTGTTGTAGACCACAGACCAGAGTGAAAATGAGGAAGATCGTTAAGAGATAAGAGTCATATAAATTGCTCTGGTTGCCATGGCTCCCCCAACGCTTCCCAGGCGCCCGTTGGGGCGAGATGTTTTGCACACAAAAGTCTCGTTGGAAATGTCAAAGAACATCTTGCCGTGTAACAGCTCTGTACAGAGCCTCAAGCGCTTTCCCAGCAGGGAACAGGAGAGGGAAGCAGATGGGTTGTGGTTTCTGGGGGATGAGCAAAGGCAAGGCGGCGGCAGAGAGGGTGATGCTTAAGATTGGAGCCACACCAGTTGCCCCGGGTTTGGGAGATCATAGAGTGGTTTGGGTTGGAAGGGACTTCTAAAGGCATCCCCTGCCATGGGCAGGGACATCTTCAACCAGATCAAGTTGCTCAAAGCCTCGTCCAGCCTCCCGTTGAATGCCTCCAGGGATGGGGCATCCATCACCTCTTTGGACAACCTGTGCCAGTGTTTTCCCATCCTCACTGTAAAACATTTCTTCTTTATATCCAGTCTGATGGTGTCAGCCAAAGTAAACGTCTTTGTGCTTGCAGAGCTCAGCCTTTCCAGCCAAAGCTGATAGCTTCAGTGACATGCCACCCCAAGGCTTTCCCTCCGTTTGCCTTTTAATTCATCTATAGGGAAACTGAGTCACGGCAGGGGTGGGATCACTGGGTGAGGTTGCAGAAGGATTCAGTTCTCCAGCACAGGCTCCAGCCATGCATCTGCAAGGCACGTCCATAATTGCTGATGGGAAAAGATGGAGCTGCGACCATCCCCATCCAGGGCTGGATGAAAGCCCAGCCTGCCTGCAAGATGAATGTCTTACCATTTGGGGGGGGTTGAAAGAGTCTCTCTGTAGGTTACTGGTGAATGCAATACCTGTAGGTGCTCCATATACATTTAATTGGGCTCCACTGAAACTGTTTCTCAAAGTATGAGCTGCATAGGGAATTAGATCCTTTTTTTAAAGCTATTTTGAGGCTCTCCTGTTGAATTTTCTAGCAGATATATATGTATATAATCTGTAAAAACTCCTGAGGAGGTTTTGCAACACTTCTGCCACACAGGGCGTCTGCTCTGCAGACGGTGAGGAGCACAGCTCCAAACCATTTCGTTGCTGCTTAAAGGAAAGAGAACCCCCTCTTTTGCAGTGCAAAACATGGAAATATTTTTGCTTGCCTTGTCTATAAATACTCGCATGGCAGAATTTTGAACATCTTCTAAAAAAAAAAGTGAGCCCTTTACGACTGAAAATCAAGAAATTTGCATTTGGATATGTTGACTAAAATTGAAGCTTCTACGAGAAAGGGTGTATGCAAGAGCAAGTCACGCGTTTTGGATGGTGTCTCTAATCCCAGTGTTACCGGTGGCTGGGAGCGTTTCTGGTTGTGCTCAACAGGCCTGGAGAGACCTGAGCAGGCTGTTGACGTTCACCGGTCCGACAGCTCGGTAGCTTTGCAGCGTGGGGAGGACGTTTGGTTGACCTACTTTTGTTTGGTTGCTATTTCCCACCCCACAGCCTCTTGCAAAAATAGTTTCTGCTGCTTTCGACACAATGCCCAGTATAATTGGAAAGTCTGAATCAGATGCATGTTGCTTTTGCAGTCTCAGGAGGACTTGTGCTTCACATGGCGCATTAGAGGACAGTAGTTTTGCCAGTGTTATGAATATGCACGTCCTGAAGTGATCCCCTGGCTGAGAAGCTCAGCAAACCACCGCCCTTCTGAGAGGGAGAAAATAGCCTTGTTTTGTAACTCTGGCACAAATGGAGTGGGAGCTTTTTGTTTCAGAGCCCTTGAGCCTGAAAGCCCAAATCACCCCCTTCAACTTTCGGAGGTGCTGGAAGTGGCCATTGCGTGTTCTTGATGCTCCTGAGAGTCTGTTTGCTTCTTGAGGTGCCTAAATTGCAAGTAGCAGGGTGAGGAATTCCTAAGCCCCCCAGATCTGATGGTTGTTCCCCAAGCAAGCTGTTGACCCATGCCAACACTGGCAAGGTTCATACTGGAGGCCAGGAGTCCTGACCCTCTCCTGCACCCAGGCCTTTGAGCTGCCCTGCCTTTGCTGGCAGAGATCAACGATTGCCCAGCATTTCATGGTTCCTGTCTGCAGGGTCTTCCTGTGGAAGTAGATGAGGAAGGTTTTGTGATTCGGGGTGTGCAGGGCTACCTGCTGTTACCAGTGTCCTACAGGACCTCCTCGTGACAGCATCTCCTTTAGCCTGGGAGGAGGTGGTGGAAAACCTGCAGGATCTTGCACCGGCCTTGGAGGAGGGATGGTTTTGTGGTCAGTGAACACCAGCCCAGACTGTGCTGACACTTGCTGTCCACCACGCCCGAGCATCCATGTCACCTCTCCTCTGCTGCCTTTCACCCTTGTGATGACCCAGATGATGAACTAATAATCTGCTGGCTTTGTCATGGTAGCCTACATGACAGATCAGGTCTTCAACCCAGCTAGTTCTGTGCCTTCCTCTGTCCTGCTGCACTGTGCCGCATGCATAGAGATGGGGAACTGGGATGCTGCCAGAACTGGGGGTCCCTGTGAGGATAATTGAGTTTTCTCCCTTTATAAACTGCAATAGGATTAAGTCCTTTCTCCTAGTGACCAATGAGATGGCCCAGCTGGCTGAGAGCATCCCTTCTGGGTGCTTTCCCTCTTCCCACTTTCCCCCAGTGGGAAGCCATGTGGACAAACCTGCTTTGATAAGCGTAGAAGAATGCATGATGTGATAATTTCAGATGGCTCCACGATGGGGGGATTGAGGAACCACTCCACCCTCAGATGTTGCTCAACCCTGACTGTGTTTCTCTTCACTGCTCCTTGTTGTTTGTGCAGCAGAGAGCTGGAAAGTGTTGCTGATCCAGCAGGATGAACCATAACGTCTGCAACCACCGGGTCCTGCCCCAGCGGAGCATCAGACCCAAAACAGCCTTGCAGCATCAGCTAAACTGATAGTGAGTGACCTGCTCTGCACTTATCCTCCGTGTTAATTTGGGTCTTTTCCTCTCCACAGGTATCCCATGAGTTTGCCATTAACTTCAATCCCACAAACCCATTTTGTTCAGGTAAGCACCTACCAGGTCTTTAAGACTCCTACTAAGTCTTTAATACTCCTCAGATACCTTCAGTGCCATAGAATCATGAAATCATTTAGGTTGGAAAAGACCTTTAAGATCACCGAGTCCAACCATGTCTCCTCTCCTTCCCTCTGCATTTCTCCAATAACAGTTCAGGCATTTTTCAAGGTCTGATCAGAGACAGACATTCACAGAAGCAGAGCACATGCTAAAAGCACACTTGGAGGAAAGCAGAGAAAATTTGGGGGTGTGTAGGAAGGCCCAGGGTAAAATGCAACTGGATTCAGACAGCGTAAAATCCGCCTTCGCTCTGGTGTCTGGTGTGTCCTACCAGCTGTCTGCTCCTCCAGTAAGCCTGCAAGAAACACCCGGCCTGTTCAGCATATGGGGAGCTCAGACTCCATGCTTCATTTAGCATCTGAGAGCTGGTCACAGCCATGGCTGAAGGACTGCTCACATTTAAGTGATAAGGGACTCCAAACATCATCTGGTTTGACCTCTGCCTTATCGCAGCAAAATGAGGACTTGGGCAGCCTCCAAACCTCCCTCGCTGGTGATGAAAAACTGACTGTGAGCATCTGCTTTTCTGCTGCTTTTGCTTCCTTCAGTCCCTCTCCAGTAGCTGTAAAGCATTTGCTTGGACCTGAGTTGTTGCAAGTGTTAGAAGGTGCAGAAACCACCATTCTGCAACTCTTTATCAGTGTCAAGTCCTTCCCAAAGAACTGATTATCAGCTGATTAATTGTAGAATTGGGCATTTTTTAGTTGCACATCCATGCATCCTTTTGGGAGAGCACACCTGTTCCGGTGTGACAGAAGCAGAACGGTCTCAGTCTGGGAGCTCAGAGGGAGCTTCTGGGATTGTTTTCCTTCTCTACGCCAGCTCTGCTCCATGTCTGTCTGTTTTTCAGTTACACTTAGACACCAGGAATTTATTTTCACTCCTTTTTGGCTGATTCTGAGATTTCCGCAGAAACATGAGGAAAGCTGCCTTTGACTGTGGGCACTACAAGGGCTCTCTGACCTTAGAAGGGTCTGAGGACCCACTACAAAGTGACCAAAGAGCAAACCCCTGCTTTTAGAAACTTTGAGTTGAGGTGGATGAAACTTGTGGAGTTGGATGAGTTTGGGGTGGCAAGTGGGGAAAATAGGTCAACTTCAGCTCCCATGGCAGCTTTAGCTAATGATGCTTAGTCGGAGTTGTGGTGGGCCTGAGCTGTGGCACACTGTAATGCCTGGCTTCTCTGGTTTCCCTGAAGGTGTGGAGGGCATTGTCCAAGCGTACTCAGCCTGCCTGCCCCACATCCGCTTCTACGGACCCACCAACTTCTCCCCCATCGTCAACCATGTGGCCCGCTTCGCCGCTCAGGCCACCCAACAGGAGGTCGCATCTGTAAGTTTGTAAGGTCCCATGGTGCCATGGCAATCCTGATGGCTTTGGGTGGGGGAAGGCAAAGCCTGAACTTGGTTTTCTGTCTGTCCCTTCACTCTGGGCAGGGAGGCAGAGTCCTCCCACCAGGACCATCCCTGGGGTCTCTGCAGCTATGGACTCTCAGCCAGCTGTCATCACCTCAGACAGAGAAAATACACAGACATTGCACATGCTTCTTAGGAGGAAAAAAAAATAAGGCAAAAACATGACAGTCAGCAAAACTGCAGCTGTGGAAAATCAGAAATTATTGGGGAGAGGATTGAGATGAGGGTGGGAATGCCATGAGGTGAGCGTGCCTTGAATTTATACAGATGTCTTGAGCACAGTCTTAAAAGTTAGTCCCTCATCTCAAAGAGGATCACACAGCCCTAGGAATGGTGGCGAGGGAGCTGGCCAAGACACCCAGTGGCATGGAGCAGCTGCCATATGAGCAGCAATAAGTCTGGCCCAGGAAGTGAACCGGGAATATGAGAGATGCATAAAACGTGACTGTTCAGGTCCAGAAAGGGAAGGGATATGCTCACAGCAGACCCAACCACCAAGGCCGTTCACCACTGCGCTGGGTGAACTTAGGCTCAGGAGTCCCTGCTGTGTGAAGGGAAGGGGTTGAACCTGACTCCAAACCTTTGGCTTTTTTACCTTCGACATCCAACATTCAGCTGGAGGAAGCATCTCCCTCTCCTCTGAGAAGGTCTCCTAGGGGTGCACATCCAGCCTTGCAAACAGCAGGAGAGAGCGACCATGGGGTCACTGTGCCCTGGGGTACAGCGTGATGTTTCTGATGTGACTGTTGCCCGAGTCAACCTTTTTCCAGGAAAAGACCTTTCTGTTATTCTCCTTTGAAGAGCTTTTTGTATTTGAGGGGGAATTGTCATGGGGTGGCTTGGATTGATCATTGCTTTTCGTGCCTCTTGGACAAGCAGCAGGCTCAGAGCCAGGCTTTGGGTTCCTCTGCAGCCGCTCCAACCTGGAAGTCCCCTTTAATTAGTCCATCAGATCGTTCACATCCATATGTCCAAAAGCTGCTCGTTAGTGCAGGGGCCCCATACAACCACACTCAGTCGCACTGAGGGATCAGGTGCAAGCTGGTTTTTGGAGGGCGAGGCTGCTGATTGAAGGGATGCTGGGATGCCCCCATGTCCCCATGTGCAGCCACAGCTGCAGCTGTGGGTCCAGCCTTGCTGGTGATGACCAAGGTGTACTCTCAGGGGTGTGAAGAGCATCTGAAGACTGCAAGATGGAGCTCACTTGGGTGACTGTTGGGTCCTTGTGGCAGCAGGCTGCCCGCGGAGGACGGCAGGTCTGGACCCTGGGTTTTGCTGGCCAAAAGCAGCTCAGCTTGGCCATCAGCTGGGGCATGGCAGGAGCTTTCCTGATCCCTGCCTGGAGTGGAGCTGGATCACACCCAAAACCTCCTCCCCAAGGCTTTTTCCAGCCTTGCCTTGGGTGCTGCTGCTCTTCCCAGCCGCTGGCAGAAGGAAGCACTGAATTTGGTTTAATGCAGCACAAATCCTGGTCGCTCCTCATTTTTTCATTTTCTCTCTCTGCATCAGTGGGGGAGAGAGAAGCCCACAGGCTCCACACTGAGCAGAGGCGCTAATCGTATGCAAATTGCACCCCTCCGTTGGCACTAAGTTTAATCAAGGGAGATTTAAAATAATGGGCACTAATAGTGGCGTCAGAGGCAAGCCTGGGTTGACTCGGTCTTGGTTTTTTTGGGAGCACAAAGCATTACTGATGAGGGACCTCGCTCCCCCAGGGTCATCTCCTCTTCCATCCCATCTTCAGCGCCTGCAGTGAAGCCACTCCTGATGCTGCGGGCTCCGGTGTCCACCTGGACCTGCCCTCCTCTTCCTCCTGCTCTCGCTTGCTCCCAATATTTCAAAGAAAACAACAAAAAAAAACCCTCGTAGTTTTTCCATGGCAACGTGGATCACAAACACTGGAGCCATCGGCTCTTCAGTGATGAGAGGACTAAAACGTGTCAGGGAGGGAGAGATGGGGAGATTACACACGGTTTGACTCTCAGAAAAGGATTAATAAGCTTTGGGGAATTAAAACACACCTTTCCCTCAGGGTCCCTGCATCCAAACTTCGCCTTTTCTTACCGCATGCTGCTTAATGCCACCTAATCCCTTCAAGTCCTGTGTGCACAAGCACATGAGCCTAATTGCTGATGTAGTTAGCAGATGATCAGGATTCATCCCCAAACCCCCCCCCACCCCCGGTGGATTCAGAGATCGGCCATTTTACCGACAAAAAGAGGAGAAAGGGGGGAGGTGCTGCTGGGTGGGTGTGCTGAGGAAGCCCCCAGCCCAGAGGGTCTCATGCAGTGCCTGCTGCTCCCCCGCTCATAAGGATGCTCCCCACAAGCTCACCCCTCTTTGTGGCTGACCCCCAGCATCAGTGCTCCTTCCTCTTGGCGTCTGAAGTATGTCATGATAAACATCTCATGAGCTCTGCTCCCCCCTCCTTTCCTGCACGCTTTCCAACATTTTTCTCTGATCCCATTATGGATTTCACAGAAAAAAGGGAACAAAGAGCAGTAGTTGCTTTTGGGTTTCCTTTTTTTGGCCATGCACAGAGGCCAGGGAAGGAAGGAGGGGATCAGCTTAAAGTCACCCCATTGTCAGCTGCTCTCCTCAAGGTTTTAGTCTTCCTCCCATGCCGGTTCCCAGACAGGGCCAGGTCCCAGTCTCTTGTCCTGCTTCCAGTGATGGCCTGTGCTGGCCACCATGGAGGAGTGTGCAGGTCTTCTCCTGGAGCTTAGCTTACCCTTCAGATGTTGGGGCCCTGCTCTTCAGACCTTCATCTGCCCATGATTTGCTCTGAAAACTTCAGATTTAAGGAAAAACTAAATCCTGGGCAGTGCTCTGCAGGCAGGGCTAATGCATGGGAAGGGGTCAGGAAGGTCCTGCCTGGCTGTCATGCTTGGGAAAACCTCACCCACAGCCCCAGGTTGTGTTTAAGTTCGACCCAGACTTGTTTGTACTTGGAGTTTAGTGCTGGAGAGTGCAGAGGGGAAGACAACGCTCGAGGAAGGATTTGGGAGCCGTGGGCTGGAGGAAGCCTCAGACAATGGGCCTGGGGCTGCGTTCCCTCTCTTGCTTTTCCAGGACAGCTGCGCTGGTGGTTTTCAGAGGAAATGGAAAGAATGAAGAGAGCAACAAAAGGCTTTAATGTGCTTAAGTGCTTGTTTTCGTCATTTCTCCACGCAAGCTCTGTAATGTGCCAAAATTGAACCATTACTTTCCCTGGAGGCGGAGGAGATGGGCTTTTGAGGGTCCACATGCCCCAGATTTGCTGAGCTGAGTCGGGGAGGACAGTCTGTTTGTCCAACCATCGTCCTCCAGCTCTGCAGGACCAGCCCTGTCACCCCCCCCCCCTTTCCCCATGGGAAGGGGAGCGGGCGCTAACGGTGCTGCTCTGGCATCCCCCCAGCTCACTGGTACCTTTTGCATTCCCACTCGGTGCCTCTGAGACCCACAGCTTTGTATGGGAGATGGACAAGCCCTGAGCATGGGACAGCTCCCCCCCAGCTGGGATGCAGGAGATGCTCCCCCATCAGTGCAGGGATGTGCCACTGGGGGCCACCCCAAAATGCACCTCGCTGTATGTGGGTATGGGGAGATGTGATCTCCCAGCTGGGCTCATGTCCCAGCCCCAGACTCTCCTGGCCATGACACAGAAGCTCTGTACACTTTGGGTTTCTGGTTGGTTTTTTTCCCATCATTAAGTACAGTAAATTAGCAAAATATTTTGGGGTGGGAGTTGGTTTGCTGTTTAATTATGGTCTTTCAAAAAGCAAGGGGAATGGGAGCACCTGAAATTTCTGGGTGCTGCTAAAGATGGCGATGCTGGCTGTCCTGGGAAGGGATGAACCTCACACTCCCAAATCCCTGGGGGGACCTCCCTCCCCATTGATATACAAGGCATCCTGGCCACTTGCACCCTGTGAGTTCTGGCTGTGGTGTGAGCATGCTCCAGCATCCCACTGGGTCTGACCCTCTGCCCTCCCCTGTGCAGCAATACTTCATCCTCCTCATCATCACGGACGGGGTGATCAGCGACATGGACGAGACAAGACACGCTGTGGTGCAGGCATCCAAGCTGCCCATGTCTATCATCATCGTCGGGGTGGGCAACGCCGACTTCGCCGCCATGGAGTTCCTGGATGGGGACAGCCGGGTGCTGCGCTCCTACACCGGCGAGGAGGCCGTGCGCGACATTGTCCAGTTCGTGCCCTTCCGGGATTTCCGAAATGTGAGTGTGGGCAGCGGGGAAGGGATCACAGGCAGAAATTGGGGGTCTCAAGCTTGGAAGTGACCCTGGAAGTGGAGCAAACCTGTTCATTATTGCAGGGTCACATCCGTGAGCTGGGGTCGGCGCTGAGCTCACGTCCCTCGCCATGGTCCCATGCCTGTGTCTCCCACTCAGGCCTCATCCCACACCCATGATGTGGATGTGCCGAGAGCTTAATGCTGAATTGCCCCAGCCCTGGAGGTGAGCCCTGAGCCCCCCTGGGTCATTTCCCAGCACCTGCAGAAAGGGGCAATGCCAGCACCAGCCCAGCACATGACTCCTCTGGGGGACAGCTTCCCGCTGCCCGACTCACGGGTGTGTGTTGGAAAGAAGTTGATGGCAGAAGAAAAGGAGCATTTTTTTTTTTTTAAAAGACAAAATGAGCTGCAGTGCCCTGCCCATCTCAACCTGCCAGGAGTCGGATGTTGTTGCTGGCATGGGATTGCCAGAGGATACAGCAAATCAGCCTATGCCGATCTTCCCCTTTTTGCAACTGATCAGTGTCTTTCCAGTCTACCTGCTGTTATTCAATACCTGTTTTTTCCAACCTGCTGAGGATGTTCTACTCCTCCCTACCAGTGAATTATCTCCTGGAGAGAAGGTGTAGTTTAGAATGTAATAATCCCAGGTGCATAAAATGCTGGCTGCCAGTAGAATCTATCAGGTATTAAATGAAATGTCATGGTTTGGAGTTGGGGACAGCCCAGGCACATTTGCTTGGTCCCCTATGGCCATTCTTATGCTGATGCTTGCTCCCTTTCACCTGCAGGCCCCCAAGGAGACCCTGGCCAAGGCCGTGCTGGCAGAGCTGCCCCAGCAAGTGGTGCAGTACTTCAAGCACCGAAACCTGCCACCCATCAACTCGGAGCCCGCATAGAGCCGTGCCCGGCTGCACCCTCTGCATGTCGCTGAAGCCTGTTGGTCCTGCCAAAAGTGCATGTCCCACATGCTTTCAAGAGAATACCCTCCCTAAAACACTTTGTACTTCTTAATTTAATTGCCAAGTTCTTAAAACTCATCCCAGAGAAGCATCTGGGTTCATTTTGTACAGTCCCGGCCCGAGGTAACACTAAATGGCCAGGCCATGCCCTGGTCCTGCTCTGTTGAGTCACTTTTCAGTATTGAATGTACTTTGTATTATTTCCGTGGAACAGGATACAATTTTTACAATCAAAACTTGCTTTTTCCAAGCAATGAAATGCTTAATATATTATTATCATTCAATGAACTGGTCACTGTATAGTTCATGTATCTGTGTTGTACCTGTGCATCTGTCACACTCTATGTTCATTTTTATACTGTGTACATGTTATATTTGTTATACTCAGGTTAATAAAGAAACTTGGACATTTAAAACAAGGGTCTCCTGGCTGGGAAGGTCTGAGAGCACCTTACATGGTCAGCGGTTGGGGTGTGTGCATACACGTGTGTGCTTGGGAAAACACCAGTGAACCCACACCAAACCAGCAAAGGGAGCTTCATGGTTCACTGCTGCTCCATCTCAATGCTTTTCCAAGACCGAGTAACAAAAGCTCCCTGCTGCCTGGGAGGAGAGGGGCTGGATGATGAAATCCTGCTCTCTGGCAGCTCCTTTGAGATGCTCATCAGCTACAGCAACGTGCTATCTCCAGTAATAATTGCTGCCTCCTTCTCTTCTTAACTAGATTACGGCCTTTTGAAGCTAGCAGGTAGGAAGCTGAATTTACTGCAGAGACCAGCAGCCTTACCCCAGCCCTGACCTCCCTTCTCCCCATTAGCAAAAGCACTTGTTGGTGTCTCTCCATACGGCCTGGAGCCCATTTGCACGTGTGTGCCTCTGGCTGTGCTCACTGCCACCGAGACACCAGCACGCAGGCTGCCCTGCACACCTCCACGGCTTGGCCAAGGCTGACAGACCCCCAGCCAGCTCCGAGCAGTGCAGGGTGAGACCCCATCCCTCAGGAGTGATGGGACTGCTCTGGGAAGCGTTTGCCTTGAAAAGCACCCTGCAAAGGTAAAAAACCAACCAACAGCCCTTTCCCAATGGAGAAGCAGCCCTTGAAGGGTGGTTCATTTAATGCTGTACACAACTCGGCTTCCCGATCAAAGCCTGTGGCTCTGGAAAAATGTATTTAGTTTTTCATT